CAATTGAAATAGAATTGAGAAAAACTTAAATAAATGGACCGTAACTATTAAATACTGCGTAAATAATTTTAAACGTTGTAATGCTTCGTTAATTTGTGTTCTCGTACTTTAAACGACACTTGTATTCTGACGCAAACGATATTACAGTTCGACGCGAACGACACTGTTACGACTCGACACACTGCAGTACATTTGATTACTGAACTCGACAGTCGACGACGCGACGTTTCTCGACAACGATTCTCTTTTTTATAATAAACATTCTCTAGGAAACTAACATTAACGAACAATTGATTAATAGGTAAATCTAATGATCTAAATGAACGGTAATCTAAATGAACGCCCTCTATCCCACAGTAATAATGTAATAGTTAATAATTTAACACGTTGACTGCCAACTACGAGTTATGTCGAAGTTTGAAGAATGTAATATTAATATTAAATGAAATTGGCTTCTTACACAGAAATGCTGAAAAGTACCGTGGCAGTCAACGTGTTAAGGAATTTTTATAAAGGTCTCGCGTATCTGCGTTTTCAACGTCCTCGCCGTACCTCCTTGCCGCGAACGCGACTCTACACGGGCGAACCGATGTGTACGAATTCCTGTTTGTTGCAGTAGCGGGATGGTGCAAAGCGTCGGTGCTAATTTATCCCCGGACCAAACGTTCGGATCGATCCGATCGCTGTCGGTAACAAGAGAAGTCGCCAGCTTCCCTCTTTCTAGAACGCCTACGCCGCCCCCGCAGCACAGGTAGGTAATTTTTCTGCATTCGATACGATTCTGCCCTCGGGCAGATACATCCGCGTCGAGGTTAGGTCGTGTCGCGTCGCACAGTGGTTCGAAACTGCCTTTTGGTGGAAAGAATTTGGTAACGTCAATGTATATGATTCAAATTTTGCAAAAGTTGATATTCCCATGATGTAAAAACATATAGGCCGGTATTCAAAGTCGTTGCTTATTCTTAAGATCGTCTTAAGAATTTGCTATCCCTGTCTATCCCATATTTCCAGTCCCTGTCCCTGTCTTGTACAGGGAATATGAACTTAAGCAAATGCTTAAGACGATCTTAAGAATAAGCAACAACTCTGAATACCGGCCAAAGTATTCTTCCGACGTGTTCAAATGTGTCGCTGTTTGCGCCTAAGCAACAAGCAGTTGAGAACTGTGATTGAGAACTGAAAAACGAGAAACGACTATAAATTAGGGTCTAAAATATAAATAATCATGATGTAAAAATATAAGTGTTCTTCCGGCGTGTCCAAATGTGTCGCTGTTTGTACCTTTCACTCATCGGCCATATTGGAAG